CGCCCCTGTCCCCTCGCGCCCCGGTCCCCTCACGTCCCTGTCCCCTCTCGTCCCTGTCCCCTCTCGTCCCTGTCCCCTCACGTCCGGGTCTCTCTCATCCCTATCCTCTCACGTCCCTGTCGCCTCACGTCCGGGTCCCTCACGTCCCTGTCCCCTCACGCCCCTGTCCCCTCACGTCCCCGCCCTCTCTCGTCCCTGTCCCCTCACGTCCCTGTCCCCTCACATCCAGGTCCCTCACGTCCCTGTCCCCTCACGCGCCTGTCCTCTCATGTCCCTGTCCCCTCGCATCCCGGTCCCTCATCTCACCGCGGGGAAGAAGTCAGCCCTGGCCCCCAAAGCTCGCCCCGCCCGGCCCCCGCCCCTCCCCCCTTCCCGGTCCCCGTCCCTGTCCCTGCGTGGTCTCTTGGAGCGTTTAATCATTTAAAAAATCATAAAGCAGTTTTGTAACTGCCACACTCGCACCCTATTCTAGATAGCTGACAGGCCCCTAACCCTTAAGGCGTTTAAAGCACTTTAGACTTTATTTCTTGGTCTCTCTCCTCTATCGCAAAGCCTTATTTTTCATATTTGGGAGCTCTCCTGGACGCTAATGAAACCCCCACTGCCCGGAGCGCGTTTTGATTTGGGTAGTGCGCAGGTGGGCTGTTTTCTTTACTGAGGTAGGGTAGATTGGAGGGATGGTTTTGGGAGAAAGGGTCTCAGTTCTCTCTTTTGGTTAAGTGTGAGGTAGTTAATGAATGGCACATCCAAAGGGCAGTGTTAGGCTGCAGTATAGTTTTTCTTTTCTTTTAACATGTAAATATCCCGAATCCTTTTCTCTCTAGTTACCTCAAGGATGTGACCCCCTGCTGGGAATATTGCAAGATCTTAAAAGTTTCAATATAAGGCAGAGGTAAGAGAGGTCCCTGTAATAGGGATCAAGTTTGTATCTTTTCTTCTTCAGTTTTTTGTCTTGTCCTCTTCTCTGTTAAAACTCAGCTCTTTAGCATTTCCCAAGGGAACCTGAATGTGTATGATAAATTCAGACCAACTGTTGATTTAAATAATGCCGCTCCCTTCAGTTTTGGGAATTAAACCCAGGTTTTCTCATTGAGCTGTATCCCCGCCCTTTTTGTTGTGTTTTTTTTTTTTTGGAGGCAGAATTTTGCCAAATTTGTAAATTGTCCAAGCAAGGTTTGAAATTAGGATCCTCCTGCCTCAGCCTCTCAGAGTGCTGGAGTTACAGTGCCACCATGAGGTATGCTAGTGGTATTTTGATTGGGATTGCATTAAATCTGAGTAAGTTTTGGGAGTAGGGGCATTGTTACTATGTTGGTTCTTCTTATCCATGAGCAGGGGATAACTTTCCATTTTCTGATATCCTCCTCAATCTCCTTTTTTTTTAGGGTATCATAATTTTCACTATACACATCTTTTAAATCCTATGTTAGATTAATTCCTAAGTATTTTATTTTTTTTAGATGCTATTATGAAAAATATGCTTTCCCTAATTTCTCTTCCTGTGAGTTTGTTGCTTGTGTACAGGAATGCTATTGATTTTTGAATGTTGACTCTTTATCCAGCTACACTCCTAAATTTATTTATTAAATCTATAAGTCTTTTGGTGGAGCTTTTGGGATCTTCTATGTAGGGTATCATGTCATCTTCAAATAATGACAGTTTAACTTTCTCCTTTACTGTCATTATTCCTTTTATTTTTTTCTCTGCTCTGATTGTTCTGGCTAATGTTTCCAGAACTATATTGAATAGGAGTTGTGATAGTGGACATCCTTCCTGATTTTAGATTGAAAGCTTTCAGTGTTTGACCATTTAGTATGATGTTAGCTGTTGGTTTGTCATAGATAACTTATCAGATTAAGATAAAGACCTTCTGTTCCAATTTTCTGAGTGTTTTTATCATGAATGGGTGTTGGACTTTGTCAGATGCTTTTCCTGCATTTTTTGAGATGCTCATGTGATTTTTATTTTTGGTTCTGTTAATATAGTTTATTACATTTATTGGGGCTGGGGATTTAGCTCAGCGGCAAAAGCGCCTGCCTGGCAAGTGTAAGGTCGTGAGTTCAGTTCCCGGTACCGGAGAAAAACCAAAAAAAAAAAAACATTTATTGTTTTTCCTATGTTGAACCATCCCTGCATCCCTGGTGAATGAATTCACCTTGGTCATGGTGAATAATCTTCTTGATGCTTTGCTGCATTCTCTTTGCCATATCTTATTGAGGATTTTTGTATCTATGTTCATTAGGGAGATTGGCCTGTAATTCTCCTTCTTAGTTGGGTCCTTCTCCTGTTTGGTATTAGGGTAATACTTGCCTCCAGAAATGATTTTGGAAAGATTGCTTCCCTTTCCGTTGTTTTTTTTAAAGAGTTTCAGCATAAGTGGCATTAGTTCTTCTCTAAATTTCTTGTAGAATTCAACTGTGAATTTGTCAGGGCCTGGGCTTTTCTTTTTTTTAATTTTAAAGAGAATAATAAAAAAAAGAACAATAGCAGATTACAAAGAACATAGACAAAAATGAAATAAAGCAAAAAACAATAAAAATGATACAGGGTTTCAGAACAAAATGATAGGAATTAACAGTGGCTGTTACATTGTATATTGTTACCTTCAGTGATGTAAGAATGTAAGACTGATCAAACCATTAAGAGAATAAAAAATAAAAAAAATAGAAATGATATAGAGTTTCTCTACACAAGATGGTAGGAATTCACCAATGGTTGTTATATTGCATATTGTTGTCTTCAAATTAGTTGTTCAGATTACCACATATAAGCATGCAAAATTAGTCAAAAAGAAAAAAAAAATAGGCATTAACTGTTCCTTTCAATAAGCCAGACTTCAGCAGTAGTGACCCCAACTATCCTTCTATAGACATATATATGCATTTATTTTCCCTTCCTTCTTCCTTTTTCTCCTTTCCCTCATCCCTGTTGTTCCTTCCTTTGAGCAATTTCTTTCCCTTTCATAATATCTGTTGTACATTTTGGGTTTTATTTACTCTTTCAGCTTCTTATACTAGGGAGACAATACAATGTTTACACATGTGGGTCCGATTTATTTCACTTAGTCTCTAGTTGCATCCATTTACCTACAAAAGCCTCAAGTTTATCTTTTTTTATAGCTAATACTCCATTATATAAAAATACCACATCTTTTTTATCCATTCCTCAGTTGATGGGCATTTGGGTTATTTCCAAGATTTAGCTATGACAAATTGTTCTTCTATAAACATGGGTGCACATACATTGCTGTGGTACGCTGTTTTTAATTCTTCTGTAAACATACCCGGAAAGGAAATAGCTGGGTTAAGTGGGACTTCTAACCTTAGTTTTGTGAGGAATCTCCACACTGATTTCCACAGTGGTTTCACCAAGCTACACTCCTACCAGCCGTCGAGAAGGGGAAAACCCACAGCCTCTCCAACATTTGTTATTGCTTGATTTCTTAATAGTACCCATTCTTTCTGGGGTGAAGTGCAATCTCAGTGTTGTTTTAATTTGCATTTCTTGAATGACCAATGATGTTGAACATTTTTTCATATATTTATTCACCATTAGTATATCTTCATCTCAGAAGTGCATATTCATCTCAGATGCACATTTTTGGATTGGGTCTTTGAATTTTGAGGGCCTGATATTTTTTAATTCTTTAATTCTTGATAGATGTCCTTTGTCTGAGGGGCAGTAGGCTAAATTTTTTTCTCAATTTGTGGGTTTTCTTTTTACTCTGCTGGTGATTTCTTTTTTTTTTGTTTTTTTTGTTTTTTTTTGTTTTTTTTTTTTTTTCTCTGGTACCGGGAACCGAACTCACGACCTTGCGCTTGCCAGGCAGGTGCTTTTGCCACTGAGCTAAATCCCCAGACCCTGGTGATTTCTTTTGATGTGAAAAAACTTTAGTAAGATGAGATCCCAGTTGTTATTTCTTCAAAGTATTTCCTGTGCAGTATAGTTTTTGTTCATAAACTCTTTGCCTACCCCTGTGTCTTCAAGATTTTTACCTACTTTCTCTTCTGGTAGCTTTAGTGTTTCTGTTTTAATATTTAGATAATTGGTCCATGTTGACTTTACTTTAGTGCATGGTGATAGGCATGGGTCTAGTTTTAGTTTTCTGCATGTGGAAAGCCAGTTTTTACAGCACCACTTACTAAAGAAGCCATCTTTCCACCAGTGAACATGTTAGGTGCCTTTGTCAAAGATAAGGTGGCTGAGTGTATTTGTACTTGTGTCTGCATCTTTTAATCTGTTCCATTGATCTTCAGATTTTTTTTGCCAGTATCATTCTGATTTTATCGTAGTAGCTTTATAGTATAATTTCAAGTCAGTGATTGTATGCCTCCTGCCTTGTTTTTGTTGCCCAGGTTTGCTTTTGCTATTCTAGGCCTCTTTTGGTTCCAGATAAATTTCAGGAATGTTTTCTCTACATCCGTGAGGGATGCTAACAGTGTTGAGAAGAATGTCTATTCTGATGTTGTTGGGTGGAACACTCTGTAAAGGTCTACTAAGTCCATTTGTTCACAAGTTTGGTTTATTTCTGTTATTTCTTTGCTGATTTTTTTGTCTACTTGATCTGTCTCTTTGTGAGAGAGGGGTGTTGAAGTCCCCTGTTATAATTGTGTTACTGCTTATTTGATTTTTCATGTCTGTTAAAATTTGTCTTATATAGTTGGCTGCTTGTGTATTTGGTGCATAGATACTTATGATTGTTATCTCTTCCTATTGACATTTTCCCCTGACAAGTATGTAGTGACTGTCTTTATCTCTTTTGATCATTCTTGGTTTGAAGTTCACACTGTCTGCAAGCAGAATAGCTAAATCCACCTTTTTCTGGGTTCTTGTGGCATGGAGTATTGTTTTCCATCCTTTGATTTTCAGTCTGTGAATTTCCTTTTGAGTTAATGTGTTTCTTGTATAGAGCATATTGTTGGATTTTGTTTCTTGATCCACTCTGCCAGTCTCCTTCTTTTGATTGGTGAATTAGGACTGTTCACGTTGATGGTTATAACTGATATGTATTGGCTTATATTTGTCATGTTATTTTCCTTTTTCCCCTCTGTTTAATTGCTTGTTCCACTTGGTGGTTCCTTTCTATTGTTCTTGCAATTGTGGTCATTTTTTTTATCTCTTTCTAGAATAACTTTTAGTACTCTTTGTAGGGTTGATTTAATGCTCATGAAGTTCTTCAGTTGTTCTTTATCATGGAAATATTTTATTTCTCCATTAATTTTGAAGTATAGTTTTGCAGGGCACATCAGTCTGGGTTGTTTTCTTTCAGGACCTGCAGTACTTTAGTCCAAGCTCTTCCTGACTTGATGGTTTGTGCTGAGAAATCTGCCGTGATTCTGATGGGCTTTCCTTTATAGATTATCTGCTTTTTTTCCTCTAACAGCTTTTAATATTCTGTTCTTTGCTGAACTTCTGGGATCTCGATCATTGTATGTCTGGGTGTACATTTATTTTGGGTATGGCTAATTTGAGTTCTATATACGTCATTTATGTGTATGTCAGATATGTTTTCATGCTTGAGAAATTTTCTGCTCTTCTGCAAATAGTCTTTTATGTCACTTGTGTTGACTCCTGCTGTTTCATTGACATCTATTAATCTTACATTGTTTTTCTTTGCTTCATCTTTCAGCTGTTGAATTATTTCCTTGTTCCTTGTTATTTTTAAGAGATCCTTCCTTTCACGATCATTAGCTGCAATGCTGTCTTCAGCTTTGTTCATGTGGTTTTCCTAGCTTTCAATGGAATTTTTAATTTCCTGGATATCTGTTTGAATCTGTTTTATGCATTCTGATTCTTTCCTATATTGTTCATTCAAGTTTTTCATCATTTTTCTATGCTCTTGTTTTCTTATCTGTGTCTTCTTTGGATGTGCTGAGGAATTCTTTCATTATT